TTAATCTATCATTTTAAGAAACTAGAAAAACAGAAACATGTCATATCCAAAGTAACCAAAAAGGAAAAAATCATAAAGATGAGAGTAGAAATCAATGAAATAGAAAACAGAAAGTCAACCAAACCAAGAGTTAAGTTAGTTCTTTAAAAAGATTAATAAAATGTATAAACATCAAGCCAGACTGATTAGGAATGTAAAAGAAGAGTCATACATCACTAATATTAGCAATGAGAAGAAGGAATGTTTTGATATATTTTTGATAATATCTTCTCATATGCTTTTAGTTATCTATGCTTTTATATTTAAGGAAAGCTTCTTGTTTCTGAGTCAGTAAGCTTCTGTTCAAGTGCTTAGACAATTTGAATTTAATGTAATTGTTGATATGGCTGCATGTAAAGTGATCATCTTGTTATTTTCTATTCCGTTTATCTCTACTTTGTTCTTATTTCTTCTTTTTATGCTATCTTTTGAGGATTTTTAAAAAAAGAATTATTTTTTCCTCCACTTTTGTCCTATTAGCTATGCTTTTATTTTTTAGTAGTTGATCTACCATTTGAAAATATGTTTTTGGATTATCACAGTCTACTTTCAAATTGTATTAATATTATAGGCCTTCATGTATAATGCCAGAAGCTTGTGACAATATGCTTCTGTTCATTCCCCACAATCTTTGTTCTACTTGTGCCCTATAGTTTGCACCTGTGTATAACCCCCATGATACATTATTATTTTTGCTTTAAACAATTATTTGAAACACTTAGAAAATGAGATAAAAGTTCTTTGTATCTTACCACATATTTAGAATATTAATCACTTTCATTCCTTTTCGTGTCCCAGATTTACATGTGATGTATTTTGTTTGGCCTGAAGCATATCCGTTAACATTACTTATAGTGTAGGTTTGCTGGTGGAAAATTATCTCAATTTTTGTCTGTCTGAATAATTCTTTATTTTGCCTTTATGAAGACATTTTGTAGTTTTCTCAGTTTTTAGTTTGTTTCTCCTCTTAGTTCTTTAAAGAGATTTCTCCATTGTCTTCTGTCTTGCATCGTTTCAGACCAAAAACCTTCTTTAATATTTTTGTTCGTTTTCACATATGTCTTTTTGTTCTTGTTGCTCTTAAGATTTTCTCTTTATTATTGGTTTTCAGCATTTTGATTATGATATACTCTGATATATTTTTATTCATGTTTCTTTTATTTGAGGATTGTTGAGCTTCTTGGATTTGTGTGTTTATTAAGTTTGGATACATTTTGGTTAATATTTTATTGTTCATCTATTTTTCTACTTTCATTTGGGACTCCAGTGACACTCATGTTGGATCATTTGATATCTCCCATACTTCTCCAGTACTGCTTTTTTTTTTTGAGATGGAGTTTCACTCTTATTGCCAAGGCTGGAGTGCAATGGTGTTATTTCAGCACACTGAAACCTCCGCCTCCCAGGTTCGAGGGATTCTTCAGCCTCGGCTTCTGGAGTAGCTGGGATTACAGGCATGCGCTACCGCACCAGGCTAATTTTGTATTTTTAGTAAAGATAGAGTTTTCCATGTTGGTCAGGCTGTTCCTGAACTCTTGACCTCAGGCGATCCACCCTCCTCGGCCACCCAAAGTATTGGAAGTATAGGCGTGAGTCACCACGCCAGGCCAATACTGTTTTTTTCTTTCTTTTCCTCCTCCTGTTCTTTTTCTTCTTTTTCCTTTTTATAGTATTTTTTCACTTTGTAATTTAGTTTGGATAGTTTCTATTGCTATATTATTACATTTATTACTGTTTTCTTCTGTAGTGCCAAATTTACTATTAACCATTTTCAAAATGCCTTTACCTTAAATTAGTATATATTTCATCTCTAAAAATTTAAAATTTTTTTTTCTTTTTCTTTTTTAA